AAACGTTATATGAAAAACATGCTCAAAACAACTGAAAGAACTGTCTTCTAGAAAGTCTGCAAGTGTCCAGTGAGCTGGAAATTTTGTCTATATCTTTTTTTTCCCAACATTCAAAACAGTTGGTATATATGGTTGGTATATCGTATGTATTCTGTATTTATAAAAATAAATGAGTGAGTGGAAGATTGAGTAAATAAATTTAGGTGAGTCCAATATTGAGTGCTAGATGTTACCAGTGAAACTGAGGTTCCTCTCAGGGTTCTTAGTTTTCTTAATAAAAAGAACTTAAGAACAATTCAGATGAAAGGTCAGGAACAATTTTATTCACATTTAATAGAAAAATCACAGGCAGTCTAGCTGTAAACCTCAATAGCTGGCTAGAGGGGGCTGGAAAGAGAAAGCAGGAAAGCAATGACCTGGGGTTAGATATAGAGAATCAGCAAGATGAGGCAATAGGGAGGCACCTTAAGAGAAGCAGTGAAAAAGTCCAAGGTTCTAGAGAAAGTTAACTTAGATCCTGGCCCATATCCAAAAGACAAAGAAAAGAAAGGAAAAGTTGCACCTTTCTGAATCAGAGGGGCTCCATGGCAACTGGATAGAGAATAGGGATTCTGGGAAGACAAAGTACATGATCTTATTAAGAGGATAATTATCCCTCCTATCTCTTTAGCATGGCATTAACTGAACCCACCTTTTGTGGGGTGGTTTCTTAACTAGGTGATTTACTGGCCCTACCAAATTAAGTCTTACGTTTTTGAGTATGTTTCTCCCTGGGAGAAAGCATTCCCTTTCAACAGAGCCCAAGTAAGGCTCTTATAACAGAAGCAATTGCTCTGGAAACTCAGGCCTCTCCACTAAAGTAAAAGGAAGTTTTACTGGCTCGGTGTTACTGGAATACTTTGAACTTTCTAGCAAGTAAAGATTTGCTGAAGAGCAAACTCATTTTTTAACCCTGTATCAAAAAAAAAAAAAAACCACAATTCCTTTATCTCATAATTTAAGCATCACCCTGCTTATAAAACCAGTCTTTATTTTCATTATTTGAGGTACTTTTGACCTCTCTCAATGTCTATGCCCCAACTTTGGCCTTCTCCTTTCTCCCCTAACCTAGGATTCAGCATCTCAAACTGTTTCTTGAACTTTATCATATGCTCTCAGCCTTAGAAACTTCTTCCAGATGTCTGCTGACTCCCTTCTCTCAATTCCTACAGGCCTCTGTTCACACTTTATTTTATCAGCCAGGCCCCTTGACGCATGGACAGGATGAGGCCATCATCATTCTCAACTTTTGGTACTGGTCCTTTCCCTTCCCTTATTGTCTTTCTGTAACGCACATTCCTTGTTTATTTATCTTCAATCCTTATAACTTATTCATTTATTAAGCAAGAGTCTCTGGGCAGTACATATTGAACTAATAAACAAGTACAAAGTTACTATGTGTCACTGCAAGAGAGAAATATGGTATATGAAAAAGATACAGTCCTTAAAATAGCTTTACTATCCATTCATTGTGTATATTAGCTGTGCTAGCTTGAATGAGAATGGCCATCATAGACTCATATTTAAATGTTTGGTTCCCAGTTGGTAGAACTGTTTGTTAAGGTTTCGGAGTTGTGTCTCTTTATTGGAGGTGTATCACTGAGGGTGGGCTTTGGAGTTTCAAATGCCCACACCTTTCACAATTATCTAGCTCATCCCTCCCTCTCCCTATCCCTTTCCCCCTCCCACTTCACAGCAATTGAAAAGTAAGATATTTCCTAAACGTCAGGACTGCCATCTGTGAAGAGTAAGAAGAATCCCCTGCATCCGGCCTGCGCTTGGCTGGTATCTAGCAAACACAGCCCTTCTCCTCTCCTTCTCTCTGCGTACTAATGTGTCTCTGTTCCATGGAGCATTCAGAAATGTTTCACAGTTCCTGAAATGACTGAAAGGAAACTTCTGAGGTCAAGATCAGAATACTGAACAACGCAGACCCCTGAACAGTACCATCCCCAGGATTAATGCCCATTTTCCTTGTGTTTGATTACAGGCTAGATATGAGCTACAGACTGAATACTTTCCCTACTAAACGTGCCATTATCTGTTTGAGAACCCAGGAAGAAATATAAGAGTGTGTCTTCATAATAATGTAGAATGGCCATGCAGCTACAACTGGTTCTGGACCTGCTAAGTCTGGGAAAGAAGACGAAACACATAAAATGTGTGTGTGGCCGAAGTAGGGGTCTCCAACTGAAATGAGTTAGATACTTACAGACAGGAAATTTCCATAATATCATAATATGATGGACCATAGATTTCAAACTGAATCAATTGGACTTATCCTGTAATTTGTGGAAAGCCTGTAAATTTTCACAATACTGGAAAAAATGTAGATCATAGATGAGATTGACAAGCCTTAGGGCATTGGTAAAGACTTCTGAAAGCTTACCACTAAATAGTATGACCTCACCGGTAGTTCTCACTCAGAGAGACAGACAGAGGATGTGTGTGTAGGTAACCGGTAGTTCTCACTCAGAGAGACAGAGGATGTGCATGTAGGTAAGGATGAGCAGACAGGCTAACTGTTCGTCCTCCCTCTATCTGACATATCCTGGATAAGAAAGTATCGGGAATCTTAAAAATCATAAAAATCTTAAGATAACAACAGCAAAAAGAGCACCCTAACTGAAGAATTCCCAAAGTTTCTTTCTGTAACCATCACTAGATTCTTTCTTTATTCTTTCTTGAATCTGAATAGAAAAATAATGAGCCTATGAGTTCAAAAATGTTTAAATTTCTCTCTCTCTCTCTCTCTCTCTCTCTCTCTCTCTCTCTCTCTCTCTCT